CCCCATGGGTGGAAACACAGCCCCACCATTTTTCCGTGGACTGATCCAGACTGCCTTAGAGTAGGGTAGAGCTCCAGAACACCTGCAATACATTGATGACATCATTGTGTGGGGAGATACTGAAGAAGTTTTTGAAAAAGAGAAGAAGATAATCCGAATCCTTCTGAGAGCCAGTTTTGCCGTAAAATGAAGCAAGGTAAAGGGACCTGCACCAGAGATACAATTTTTAGGAATAAAATGGCAAGCTAGACACTATTGCACAAGTCATTCATGACTGTGAAACACGTGCTGCAATTAAGCAAGCCAAGTGGTTACAACCTATTTGGTATGGAGGATGATGGTTAAAATATAAATATGGAGAGGCCTTGAATATATCATGCTCCCACAAACCTGCAGTTGTAAACGTTATGTGATCACCATGGTGGAAGCAACCACCAGGTGGTTGGAGACATATGCTGTGCCCTGGGTCACTGCCCAAAACACTATTCTAGGCCTTGAAAAGCAGGTCTTGTGGTGACATGGCACCCCAGAAAGAATTATGTTGGACAACGGGACTCATTTCCGAAACAATCTCAAAGACACTTGGGCCAAAGCACATGGCATTGAGTGGGTGTACCACATCCCCTATCACGCACCAGCCTCCAGGAAAGTAGAACAATGCAATGGACTGCTAAAAACCACACTCAAAGCAATGGGTGGTGGAACTTTCAAACACTGGGACACAAATTTAGCAAAAGCCACCTGATTAGTCAATACCAGAGGATCTGCCAACCGAGCCGGCCCTGCCCAATCAAAACTTCTACGTACTATAGAAGGGGACAGAGTCCCTGTGGTTCGCCTCAAAAATATGCTGGGAAAAACAGTCTGGATTATTCCTGCCTTGGGTAAAGGTAAACCCATTCGTGGGATTACTTTTGCTCAAGGACCTGGGTGCACTTGGTGGGTGATGCAGAAGGATGGGGAAGTCCAATGTGTGCCTCAACGGGATTTGATGTTAGGTGAAAACAGCCGATGAATTGCATACCATCATTGCTATGACTGTTGTGTATTATACTAACGGCTTTATAGTAAGAATTTCCTGAGGTTAATGAAGAAGGAACTCCAATGGAACCAGAGCTGGTTCTGAACAACTTCTTCGAGATCAACATCTTCAATCCACAGACCCTGAAGATGGACTGTGCCAGATATGCCAGCTACGAGTTCTGGATGCAGCATGAAAAAGAGACTACACGCCATCCTCCTGCTGTGTCCAACATCACCTACTCCACTGACTGTGCAAACTTCACATCATTACTCCTGCCTTGAAAGACTGTCATGACAAACGGAAGCCAAGGTTATAGACTAAGTGAACTCAATACACATTTTGAAGGAATGGTCCATAAACTAAGGCAAAAATCTATGTGTGTGTGTGTATATATATATATGTAAACATATTGAAATTTCTTAAAAAAATGTGGAACCTAAACATGAAGTAAATGGTATGGAATAAGGGGTGGGATACTGTCCTGGTTTTTTTCTAGGATAGAGTTAATTTTCTTCTGAGTAGCTAGAAAGCACTGTGGTTCTGTTTTCAGTGGGGATTGTTATGAGAAGAATGTTGATAACATACAAACACACCATGCTTGGGCAGTTTGCAAGAGCAGAGGACTAGAGGGGGGTGGGGGACAGGGGGAGAAAAGCGTAGTAGTTAGTAAAACCCAGAATTGACAGTTGGATATGCCAATAAGATATTCCATATCATATTACGTCATGTTTAGAATATTAACTGGGACTGACTGGAAAGGTGGGGGGATTCTCTCAGGAATCACTTGGGCTCACTTTTTTGGGATTGCAATTTTGGTTTCGGGGTTCCTTTTTGCTCCCCCAGGATCATTATTGTTGGGTGGTGAGCAATTGCACTTTACACCACTTATATATATGCAGTTATTATTATTATAATTTTAATTTTACTTTACTCTAATTATTAAATTGTTCTTATCTCAACCTACAAGTCTCCTTACCTTTACCCCTCCAATTCTGTCCCTAATTCCCTGGGGGGAAGCTGGGGAGAGGGGTTGAGAGTGGCTGCGTCTTGTTTGGCTGACAGCTAAGTTAAACTATCACAACTTCTTAGTCAGGTATTGAGAACACAGCAATCATTAGTAAAAGCAGAAAGAGATAATGTAATTAAAAATACAGTTATTTCTTCTGTGTAAACAGAACTTGGTAAAACCCCTTGAAAATTTGAAAGCAGCAATAGGCCTGCTACACTTTCTCTCGTAGAACATACACGTGGTGTTTTTTAATATTCAAACACACATGGTGTATTTGCATATATTTTTAACAGCAAAGGGAAATAATTCCAAAAGGAATAAAGCATTTTCATATGAAACAGTTATTCTGAAGTTGACTTGTGCTTAAGTGGTGACCTTCTATTTGTTGCGAAGAAGGGAAACTTTTACACTAATGCATCGCTTGTCAAAAGCCACTCTCTTAGGTCTGATGGTAGTGTAGGACAGACACACACAAACACCTAGGCATGACTGTAGAATCATTATTTGTCTTTTTTTCAATATATTATAAAAATATTTTCAGAAACAAAACCTCTATTCTGGGACTTAATCTTTCACATGGTACTCCTGTAAAAAATGGTTAAAGCAGACTTCACATTTGGGATAATAGAAATATTCCCACCCTGGCTTTTTGGTGACCCTCACTTGGATGCTGCTACCACTAATCCTCTGAAATTCTATGTGCACCTAAAGAACAGACTGTTTACCTATACAACTACATCTCTGCTCAGACCTGACTGTCAGATTTTGCTTTTCAAGGAGCCCTTTACTTCCCAGTGAAAGGTGTGGATGAGGCTTATTTGCCTTCTCTACTGGCAGCAGCAACAGCAGCTGTCTGGTACATCACACCTGATCATCATGGACATCTCAGAAGTCAGGTTCAAACCCATAATAAACAGGAGTAGAGTAAGTTGCTGTGTGGGATAACAGAGGCCAAACAAATGCAGGACTGTAGGGTAGGGTGAGGAGGAAGAAAAGTTATTGAGACTGATTGTCAGTTGGGACAGCTTGTGAAGGAAGTTAGCTAGGAAACTGGAGTATGGAAAAGCTGTGAAATTGGTTTTTTCAGTCCTGAGTATTTAGCATGGCACCTTGGTCTTTAGTGGCTCAATTAAAGTGATACTATTTCACCGTGCAATGTGGTTTGTGCCACATTTTATTAATACTATCAGCTTTTAAAATAAGGTGGTTTTAAAAATTAATAGAAGGCTGTTATAAGATCACTATTTTGTTACTATTTTTATTTACTAAAGGCAGCTGCATTGGCCAATGTTACATCTACTTTTTGTTTTTGTATGTCCCTGGGTTAAAAAAACCAACAAAACAACAACTTGCTTGAAAAAACTGCCGAACAATTCACTGTGGATGGCATATAGCAACTGCAGGCTTGAAATTCATAAGACTGTACTTAGAAGTCTTGCAGTTTCTCACAGTATGTTAACAAAATCAAATGCAACTGTTTGATTTCTAAGTGTGAACATTTCACCGGAGGAAAAAAAAAAGAATCTGTCGATAAAGATCCTCACCATCATCTGAACACTCGAACTGGACTTCCTTTTCTGAATTGACCAGTCAGAGAGAAAGGAAAAGAAAAAAATGTGACTGGTTGGATTTGAAGCATCAATGCACGGAGTACAGTATATTTCTGTTTTGGCTTTTTTTTTAATTAAGAAGAAGACAGCTCAAGCTGTAGGAAGGGATGGAAAAATGCTATTGAGTATATAGTATCACAATAACAGAAATGACAAAAATAGACTTCCCCAGATGTAAATTTACTCCCTTTGCTCCACATGACCATGCAGACAAACAGCAGACATATAATATGTGCTGAAAACCAAAGTATCAAATCCCAACAAATGTAATTTAGGCAAAATTTTGGCAACAATTGTTTCCAGTATTATAAACAAAACTGAGATATAACAAATACCACTGCAGACCTGTAGGAGGAATGATATTTAAAAACGAAAAGCTGGTCAGAAAGGGTACATAAACTTTATATATTTCACAATTAAACATGTTAAGGGTTTTCTACAGAAATGATTTAATAGTCCTGAACATGTGCTTCTCCATTTACCTAGAATATCTACTACTTGGCACTGAGAAGCATTGAAATCATAGTGTACTCACTTCACTTTAAGTCAGTCTCATGATTTTTTGGATAGGTAAATTGTGCATATGTGGCAGAAGAGGAAAAAATATACTATGAATCCGGCATTTAGGTATACAATGTTGCATTAAAGTAAAAATTTAAGATTAAATAGAAAATTAAAACTCAGGTCAAAGACACACTTTTGAGTAAACACAGAGAGAACAGAAGAAAATCTTCTGAATCATCTAATGAAAGCTTGAGTCAGTTATTTTAGTCTTCAACAGTCTTCCAAGAAAAGGAATAAAATATTTTTAATTGCTGAGTAATATATTTTTTCTGGCTGTTTTTCAAAGTATTTATCCAGAACATTCATTTGTGAAGCATCTCTCCTCCTGCAGGATCTGGTGACATGAGAATAGGAGCTCTAAAACAGGTATGAAAGCTACCAAAATGTTCCCTTCTTAGCAAGGTCTGTTAAGTCAGGATAAGCAGATTTGTTGAGACAGTAAACCCCTCCAGTTATGCCAAATATAGCAAGTACATCTGGCAGTATACACCTCGTGGAGCCAAGCCTACCAGAAAACTTTTGGTCTTCCATGAAACTGAATGGAAAGTCAAGGGGAAACACAGAGCCAACAGAGCTGCAAATAAATACTGATACCTAAAAAGCCAATATGCTCACCACTAAACCATCATTTATATTCATAACCAAATTAATAACATTAATAACACAATCGTCCTTCATTAAAATAGCAAGAAAACCATTTTCTCCAGTAGTTTTCTATCTTCCACTTATTAAAATGTTTGTTTTTCAAGTATTTCTTTTATTTCATTTTTAAGCTTCACCTACTAATCACTTCAAATATACGGTAAGAACTTATTAATGAATTCTATAAAGGAAAGAAATAACAATAACAAATTCTAAAAACTGTCAGAAGTTACAGACAGGTGGTGACTAACAAAATTTATTTTGAAGCACATATTTAACCTACCTTAACTCCATCCGGCTTTTTCAGTAAACTCTTGGCTGCTGTAAAATGAGACAAATAATTTCAGTGTCAGGTGGTTACTGCTGAGGTCTACCAGCTGCACAGCAAACCTCTATTGCTTCCCACCTGCAGACACATTTTTAGCTTTTATTTCTACCTTTTGTTGCTCTGAGTATACGAAATGAAAGATTTAAGAAACTACAAATACTTAAGATTATCATACTTTTTTAAAAAAATGATTAATCTCATTGATAAAGCTGTAGGTTAACTGTACTTATATAAGGAGAGACCACTTTGGGTGTCATAGAGGAAATGGAAGGCAGGACAAGTGTAAGAGCAGCAGCTTTGGATATGTTAATTTTTACAACTGCAGTATGCTTACAATTGTTGATGGGGATAGTTTGATACAACTGCGAAAAAGTATTGTTCTGATGGCAGTGACCTTGATCAGGTGTTTTTAGAGCCCACTGTCACATTAATAACGTTATTAACATGACAGTGACATAAAAGTAACCAATTATCGGATCAATAAGGTACCTAAAGAGCACAGTGGGGTACAACACTATCCATTCCACCTAATGAAAAGTCAACTGGGTTTTAAAAAACACCTCTGAGCAATGGTTCTTTGGGGATTTCCCAGCATGACAGTATCAGTCACCTTGCATGAAAGGTCAGGAAAGTTGCAAATAAGAAAGGAAGAAGAATCTTAACCCCACACACAAATACAGGCTGGGCAGAGAATGGATTGCAAGCAGCCCTGAGGATAAGGTCCTGGAGTTGCTGGTGGATAAGAAGCTCAACATGAGCTGGCAATGTGCGCTTGCAGCCCAGAAGACCAACCGTATCCTGGGCTGCATTAAAAGAAGCGTGACCAGTAGGCTGAGGGAGGCGATTCTCCCACTCTACTCTGCTCTTGTAAGGCCCCACCTGGAGTACTGTGTCCAGTTCTGGGGCCCCTACACAAGAAGGACACATACCTACTGGAGCAAGTCCAGATGAGGGCCAAAAGGATGATCAGAGGGCCGGAGCACTTCTCCTATGAAGACAGGCTGAGAGAGTTGGGGCTGTTCAGCCTGGAAAAGAGAAGGCTCTGGGGAGACCTTCTAGCAGCCTTCCAGTACCTGAAGGGGTCTGTGGGTAGGCTGGGGAGGGACTTTTCACAAGGGCAGGTAGTGACAGAACAAGGGGTAATGGCTTTAAACCGGAAGAGGGTAGGTTTAGATTAGATATTAGGAAGAAGTTCTTCACTGTGAGGGTGGTCAGACACTGGAACAGGTTGCCCAAGGAAGCTGTGGATGTCCCCTCCCTGGAAGTGTTTAAGGCCAGGCTGGATGAGGCTTCGAGCAACCTGCTCTAGTGGAAGGTGTCCCTGCTGATGGCAGGGGGGGTGGAACTGGATGAGCTTTAAGGTTCCTTCCAATGCTAACCATTCGATGACTACGTTCTGCTAGTGAAGCCTTATTCAGGAGTGCTTCCTAGGAGATAATAATAACAAATGGTGGGATTTGCTTCCATGTCTAATTAATAAAACCTGTTATGTTATGAATCGAGTTGCACGCTGATCAAATCTCTTCAAAGCGGTGGGGACTGCTGGGCAAAATTTCACTTGCCATAATGTCATCTGTGTGTTAGGTTTTAAATTCCACTACTTAAAACTGGCACTGAGAACGGGGCCAAATAATTTCTAATTACTAAATTTGGAGGGCTAATGTGCAAACTAGCATATCACAGTTCTGAACTGGAAAACATTTACAGCAGAAACACATGCTGGGTGACCTACCAAATTCAAATAAGCTATTCACTAAAGGGTAAATGCTTCATGACTCACTGCCAAAGACCTGAAGAATAATAAATTACAGAACAAGACTGGCATTTTTTGGTTTTATTATTGTTTATGATTCAGTCTTCCTATTAGTAAGTGTATCATCTTAGGTTGTAAGGAAGTGCTGTTCTATATATGCTGTTTTGCTTAGAAGTAGGAAGTCTTTTTGAAAGGGAAAGGCTGCAGCTAACAATATGGCAGAATCAAAGGGAGACAGTCCTGACACAAGAGCTCCCATTATCACCAGCATCCTTCTCTCTAAAACAATTTAAAAAAACCCAAATAATTGGACCTTGCAAGCCTAAGGTTGCTCCAAGTAGCTGAAGATACTGGAACTACTGGGTATGTGGTTTAAACCTGAAGTTAATTTTTGTATTTGTGGCTTATTCTCTGGCTACATCTGCATTAAGTGCTCATTTAGTTTTGTTTCAGAGTACAGAAAATGTAACATCACTTCAGAAACTGTACAGAAATAACTAATGTCCATTGTTGTGTTGTTTACATTTAAAAAAACTGGAAAGTGAAGTCAGGTTAATATATCAGCCCTCCAATTGCAGTGTATTACTTATGGACATCAGCCAACACTACCATTAAAACTCTAAAAAGATTTACAACTAAAATGAACAAAAATAAATTTGCCTGTATTATGCAACAGAACCATTGCATGTTTTTATTTACAGAAACATGTAAATTAATATTGAAAATAAATTGTTTTACAGCTATCTTTGAGATAGGATACATCCCATTGCAATGCATGCTTATAGAACCCGATGCAACACAGCCTTAGATTTTACGGTACCACAAATATCATGGGCATTCCACTAACTTCAGAAATTCATTTAGGGAAAGCAAAGGGGAGGAGCTATTTCTAAAATCCAAGGCAAAGAAACCCAGGAGTTCATTGCAGTTTCACAGCCTGTTTAATACTGTCAGTCCTTACAAAACTATGGGGAAAAAAAATTCTTATAGTTGCTGTTCACAACAAAACAGGTCCTTTGGGTAGACGTGAGCATAAAACGTCTGAGTTCTTTTAATGCTTAACAAATATTACATGTTATATGTAAACAACTAAATGAAAGCCAGTCAAATGAGGGCACCAAAAGCAGTAACTGCAAGTATTGTGTTTATGGCGTTGCCAGCGTGTCCTTCGAAATGTGCCTACTATTATGCAGTATTTCATGTTACAGGTCATATTCCACACCCAACAACCTTTGTTGGTTTTGGCTTGGAATGTATTTTAAATAACATATTGATGCATCTTTCTGTAAGCTCAAATACTGCATATAAATAAAATATTGAAAGAATTTGCAGTAGCAAAGCAATTAGCATATTCTACACTAAGCTCACAATGAAAGATTTCTTGCAACTACAAGCAATAGCTATAAATAAAACCTAAAGCAGCACTAATTGACCAGGAAGCAGACTGAAAAGAAAGTGTTGTGACAACATGTAGAAATTAAAGTGATTTAGGACAAACAGCAATTTCGATTTAGAAGAGAAAAACAATGTTCCTTTCACGTGCTGAGGGTCTTACCTCACAAGAAATATACATTCCACATAAAAGGAAGAAAGAAAAGGAAAATAAAACACTTTTATAACCACATTGTTATGGATAAATTACTTTCAAAAGCGTGCTTTGCAGTGAAATACAATGAATAAACAACTCGAAATAATAAAATGTCATCAAGGAAAAATATGGGTCATTATGGTGTAAAACAGAGATGATAGGTGAAAAAAAATCCAAAACAAAGCCAAAACCTCTGTTTGATTTTCATGCTAAATACTATTTTAAAATTACTTCATCTTTTTTCGGTTCATGAAAGTTTAAATTGACCTTTATATATAGACAGTGACAGTTATGAAAAGTGATGAGAAATTATATATTTGCTTGATATTTAATAATTGTTCATTTTTACAAGATATGCAGCCTACAGCATTCCCACCTTTAAAATTAATTGGCAATTCATTAAGCATTAACCCAATGCAATTTGCATAAATGTAGTCTTCTGTGTTATAGGTGTGTAACCAATATAGGAACTTAACTAAGAAAGTACTATGCGAATGGACAAGTTGTTCTTGCATTCATGATTGTGTAATTTATTTCGGATGATTCACTACTTATTATTATTCAAAACATGCCCAAGGCACTATCATGTTTTTGTCTGTAAATTAATTTACGTTACACTCTAACACTTAAATCACAGAGTAGGAGGATATGCAAAACTACTGATTCTTAAATTTGGCCCTCTTTTTCACTATTCACTTGAAATCTCAAATGGCAAAATAAAAAATGAAGCATAGCATCAAAGTTTTGGCACTACTACTGTGTTGAAGACAATTCTAACTCTACTAACAGCAAACTTATTTTAGCTTTTGTTATTAAAACTGGTTTAGTATAAAGATCTAAATCTCCAGAGATATCACTATAGAATTATTTCATAAAGAGGAAACATCTCTCATTATATCAAGCTAGGCATTAGAAGAGAAGGAAAAGAAGGAGTAATTTTACTATGTTTCTTTACTCCTTAGCAAAGGAATCAATATGCTGCCTTTTTTTTTTTTTTTAATTAATGCAAGATGCAATAGAAACCTGGAATGAGATTTCAGGTATATAAAAATAAGTTTTACAATGTTGTTTGGTGATACTTATGCATGTGGATCTATATGCATTACTGTCAAATTTCCTCCAGTAAAATAAACAGGAAAACAGTCTGTCTTTTGACAGATAACACTACAAAAAGTAAAGAGAAGGAACTCACATTCTACTGAAAAATTAGACTGTCATCTACAAGAGATTCTATTTGAGCCAAATAGTTTAAATTCTCTTGTTCGCTTCTGCAAAGGAAACAACTTAAGATATACCATATTTAGATGCTCCTGAATAACAAAGACCTTTCTGTACTAATAAATCCTAATTTGATCTCAGTCATTACAGATACCAAAACATAAAGACCGTATTAATCTGGAGCTCAATGAACATACCTGAGAAATTTCTGGTAGCCAGCATAGTTGTCAAAATGGCCCCCTGTGTACACATATATTTTCTCAAATTAGCATCACACTTATGTAAAATTCTGAATGCTAATACAACACAACAAAAAGGAAAACACACATGTAAATTATATCAATCACTAAATTAATCCTGAAAGAATGGATTGTCTGTACATTATCGATCATACACGATGCCATGAGAGCATAAATTGTAATTTAATTACACACTTATCAGCAATCCTGATAATCTCAAATATTTACCAATTGTGAGTACATAATACACTAACCATGAGTACTCACAGGCACAGTAATTGTCAGTGAAATACATAGCTGAATATGAAACAGACTTTACTAATGTGCTTAGATGCTTCTTTAGGTAGGAAAAATAAGTCTATTGTATATACTAATGTGCTAATTAGAAAAGTTCAGATGTACAAGATTATCCTGTCTGGTCAGGAATAAACAAAGGATAATTTAAAAGAATAACCTTAAGGATTTTCCTCCAACAAAATATTTTTAATGTGTATAAATTACAATTATTATTATTTTTAATCTGACCAAATTATGCTATGTTCTATTCACTTTCATGAAAAGTTTAAGATCCTCATGCTCAAAAGCTCATAATTTCTCTAATAGTTCATTTAAGCATAACAGTAAAAAAAATTTTGCTTAGAGACTATTTGTTTTTACACATGGAACATGAGCCAACATACTTCTGTCTTTCCAAAATTAGCTACTCATCCTTGCAGAAATTTTCCTTCTTACCTTTAGTTTTCTTCGTGCATTGAATTTCTTCAAGCAATCTACAGTCTCTTGTCTGTGCATCATAGAGGCAACAGTGGAACGTTGCTAAGAGAAGAAGAAAAGAATCATTTTAACACATCCAGCAAGACATCTAGCATTTTATTTACTCTACAACATGCATATTACAGCCAATGTGGTCCAAAACATAGGCCTTTAATTTCTACCCTGTCTGACTCTTCCTTTGTGCAGATTTCGACACATTTGGGAAATTTACAAATCAACAAAACCAAGGTAACATTTCATTCAGCCTTTCCCATGTTTAAAGTCCTCTTGAAAGAAACAGGGACTAAGAAAACCACAAAATCTTAGCACTTGGGTCATGCAGTATAATAATCAAAGTAAATACTAAATTATGATTTTGGAGAATATGTTTAAAACAAGAAGGAAACTTTTCTTTACCATTAGTGATATTAGGTGAGGTAAAGTGGCAGGAAATATTTCAGAGAAAATTCAGCATTTTCCCTGTAACTCAACTCAATTTCCATCACAACTTTAAAGGCAAGATAATGCAGCCTACTGGAATGAACAAAGAGTTGGAAAGCAGCTATATGTCTCACTATGACTTTCAAAGTATCAGACCAGACTACCTACAAACTCAAAGTATACAATGTACTGAGAATTGGACAGTCATTCTGGAACAGTTTCAGACAGGCAGCCTCTGCTACCTGCAAACTGACTTTCAAAAAGTCCCTTTATTTCCTGCATTGACATTTCCTGCTTATCATAGTGGTTATGGAGAAATAAAGATGTAAAGCATTATCCAACTGAAAATTACTTTCTGCAAAAATCTCACCATCGAATCCCAGGCTGAGACCTCAATATACAACACTTGACTGTACCTGTACAATTACAATTTTACACTCCCCTATTTACGTAGCTGCATGAGTAAGGACAAAAATTATCCTCTAAACACCTTCACTATATGCTGAAGTAAATCAGAAGCTGATTTGTCTGCCAAATTTTTCTTTTAAATCAGTGTAAATTACTTACACAGATCCATGGATGCTTTAGTGCTTCTGATGCTGTGATACGTTTTGCTGGGTTGATGGTAAGCATTTTATTGATAAGGTCTTTTGCTTCAGGAGTCACTGTATCCCATTCTGGTGAGGGAAACTTAAGAAAAAAATACGTATGTGTACATTACCTTGTATGATCTCGACACGATTTTACCTAAGGCTTTTTATTGATATTATTTCTGTAACTTAAATTCCTATCACATCCTACCATTTGTAAAGGGAAAAATGCATTTTGTCATCATTAGAAAAGTCTGAATCAGTCGGTACTATAAATGTTTTTCTCCTTTACTATTTTGACTTCTTATTTATTTGGTTCAAATGCACAGCATTTATGTATTTACAATAACATGATGCCAATGGAAATTCATAGCATAAAATAACAACGGCAGACAGAATAACAAATTCCAGTCATGTCAGAGGTATATGTTCACACAGCGCTTAATACACTCCTGGTTTTAATAAAGACAAAAATATTAAGTAGCATTATTCAAACTCCTTGCTTTCTTTTAATGTAAATCTTAATGCTAACTGTATAGTTATGGTATATAAATCTAATTAGTGATGAATTCACACCTCCCTGCACAGCAAACTATTTATATATGCACTCAGAGCATTGGCTCAAATGCAAATGGAATTAAAAAAATACATCTTAAACTATGATTACTTGTTCACTAGGAAGACCTGACAGACCAAAAGTATATTTTCATTAAAAGGTCACACCATAACAACTCTCTTTTCAGCCATCATCCTCCAGGACTGGATTCAAGTAAGAGCTTAAAAAATTTCTGTCTTTTCCTCTTCATCCTTCACAAATGAATTAAATTTGAGCACCAGTAGCCTTCTGTCTGTTTAATTCAATATAGATAGATGATGTGGCAACACTCAAGACATCATCAAATCATCAGTTCTTACTTACCAACAGTCGTAATGCTTTTTGTTGGAATACACACAGACAATAAAACTATTCCTTTTGAAAAGCTCTATAGTAGCTTATATTTCCAACAGTGAGCAATACAACAGCATCAAGATATGTATTTAGGAAGCTTAAAACTTCTTAAAAACAATTTAGAACAACTGATTGGTCAAAGTGATAAACCACAAGGAAAAACAGGCTCTTGTGAGTTCACAGAGGTCTGAACAGGCTTGTCATGATAACATAAGATTGCATGATTTATACAAGGACCAGACAATGAAGGCTTGGAGCCATAGGGAAATTGGATTTAAATTAGTATAGGATGTTCCCATCCCAATAAGGTTCATATTACTAAAGTAACATTTACTATATTGAGTGGCTCATAGAGATAACCAATTTAAAAAAAATTAGGAAATAACTCTAATTTCACTTTTAACTCTAGAAAACTCCTATTTAGAGGTAGAATTATAAATAATTGAATAGACGGAGTACGGTACGTACATCATAAGCACCAGCCTTGATCTGCTGGTAAAGCCTGTGCTGGTCTTCATCCCAGAAAGGAGGATATCCCACCAAGAGGATATACAGAATGACACCTGCAGAAAATTCACAGTAATACTAAGTGATTTTAAGAAACAAACCTCAGAAATTCATTTCGCACCCGACAATCATGTAAAACAAATGGTTCAATAGTATTCTCCCAGCTACTGAAAAACATTGCTTGTTCATACTGGAGAAAACAGTAAACACAGGGTTCACGAGTTAAGCTTGTCTGCAGAGCATGGGCAATAATGACTGACACAATATCACATCAGGAACACTGAAAATGTCTAGCTAACTGGAGAAATAATTTTCAATGATCATGGATATTCAAGGAAAATGCATTTTTGACCTCTGTTTTTATCATGGCTTGTACTGGTGTCTGTAAGATTGGTTTTAATGAATCTCATGCAAAGAAAATTTGGGTAACTCAATTTATCTGTAGATAAACATATATCTGATATACAGTTGATAGGAAATTAGAAAGTCCATCTGCTAGTCGTACAGAGATTCACTAGGACTAAAGAAAAGTGCTTTTATGAATACAACTGAATAAAATAAGGAAACCACCAGTTGTTCTCAGCTAGGTAGTTGCCACTTGACAGTACCTTAAACTACACTGCTCCAAGAATTCGATGGTAAAGTAATTGCTCTGTACTCCACAAAACATTTAAGTTTCACAGTTCAAACTGCAGTTCTAGTATATTGGTCAGATCAGATTTTAGGTTGCTTGTGAACTAAAACTAAGGCCCTGGTCATTGTATGAATTATTGTGTTTTCTAACTAGTTAGGCATCATGCACTTGCATCTATTTTTTTTAACACTTTGTGAAAGTGTGTTGTGTAAACATGGCTGAGAATGCCATAACACACCTTCACAAATAATAATTTAAAAAAAAGCTGTTAGAATATTAAAATAAATCCAAAGACAACTTCTAAAAATTAGTATTGGATTTTACTAAATACCTATTATCTGATGCAGAATATAACATATTCTCGACATAACCTCCCTCAAAATACTTTATAGTGGACTGAACATTGTCTTTCAGAGTAATTTCTTACCACATGCCCACATATCCACAGGTTTTCCATAAGGATCTTTTCGTAACACCTCTGGAGAAAGGTATCCTGGAGTACCAGCAAAGCCTGTCAAAAGGCAAAGTAACTATTCTCAAAAACTGCACGTGCTCTGCAAAAATAAAGTGATTCTCATCTCAGCCCACAAGACACAGGACATTATTTCTCAAGCCACTGACCACTAACTTTTGCTTCATTTTAAACTTTTCTTTTTATGGCAAATCACCTAGAAGTAACAATATTGGGAATGCTTCAGCAGACTTGGCAACATCTCCTTCTGCCACCACGCTCGTTTTGTAGAGTTGAGAGGACAGCAAAATGCTAGCTGGTCACCCATCTGCACAAGTGCTCCACATTCAGCAGTGGTGTCAAGGATCTGGTGACAGTGCAACAGAGGAAGGTTTCCAGAAAGATTACAAAATAGCTGACGAAATTTCTTAAGCTGCCCAGAGAGCTTCTGGAGTCTCCATCTCTGTTGATGTTCAAAACCTGCCTGGATGCTTTCTTCTGCAATCTGCTGTAGGGAACCTGCTTTAGCAGGGGGTTTGTAGTCTAGTTCATGATCTCCTGAGGTCCCTTCCAACCCCTATGATTCTGTGACTTCTGCATGTACAAGACATCCAGCAGTGAGGTGCAAATACATTTGGTTCAAGGTCAATGACAAAAAAGTTAGCAGAATAGGTGGAGTGTGGGAAACATTATATGAATTATCTCCTTGGATATCAGAAAGACAGAAAAAGCATACCACGCATGCTGAAGACTGTTACTGTTTGGTTGGGGTTTTTTCTGGGGGGGCTTTTTTTTTGTTTGTTTTAATCATTAGCCTAATTTAGGCTATTTTAAAGTAGCCCCAATTTTTTTTTTTAAAAAAGTAAGATTGTAAACATGACATGCACGGGATTTCTCTGAGTCCATCAGTTGTGAGGACTCTTACCACACACAGGGTACTTCCACTGACATTTATGTGGAACTAATTAACAAAACAGCTAAGGTACAGTATTGTAAATATAAGAAGCATTTTAAGAGTCCTATTCAGTTTTTATGGGAGGGTAAATTTCTGAGTAAACAACATGTAGGGCTAGATTTCAGAAAAATACATGGAGAGACCTCTCATTTAGAAGAAAAAAAAAAAGAAAAAGTAAAAACACTGTTTAAATGGCAATCTTTCCACTGTAGAACTCATTTCTGTGAAGTCACTCCACTTCTGGAAATCTCCTAACAAAAGTTTACAAAAAAGATTTCTGAAGTAATTTAGCCTTTAAAATTTTTCTATGTTCTTCACCCTTTACTCATTCCCAGCAGTGCTGCTTTCTCTTAGGACAAATGCAAAATGTAGGTAAAAATGCAGACTTTTCTTAGGATACTGTAAATGATAAAAACTTAATGACCAGTAACATTCTGTACCATTTCAGTTAGGCTGCCTGTTCTTTCAAGTATCTTTGCCTAAAATAAATGCTTGGGAACTCTTGAAAAGTGAGAATTGGGTGGCTTTCATGAAGGATCACACATCATTTCTGAAATACCACACTGGATTCCACAAAACTTATGAGAGACAATGATAATGTATAAAGTGTACAGCTACAGAAAAAGGCAGCTTTTGCCCTGCTGCTGGCAATCATTTTAGCGTGGGAGGAGGAAATGAAGGAACACATTCTGTATATTCTACTGAGAATATAGCTAAAATATCTTAATAAAAAGCAAGCTTTTTTTTTCGCAGTCTCCTGATAAGAGAACTATGAATTGTTAGAGAGTACTATCATACAGGAAACACATCTTAAGCTCCTTTGAGAAGCTGAAAAATGTATGTTCTGTGTAGCTTTAATTAGAGTGATGTTTCATATCTCTTCTTGGCTGTAGTGCTCTACATTAATATTTTTCTTCAATTTAAAGGGGAAGTAAAGTTGTCTTGACTTTCAAACTTACCACAGCTCCATAAACATTACTATGCGTCACTTGAAAATAAACTTTAAAGCAAAAATAAATAATGTACTTAGTCAACTTTATCTCTTGATGAAAATACAGAATAGGTCTAAAATAGAAGTAACTGTTATGGTTTTAGAACAAATTCTGAAGTTGTTTAAAGCAGCAAACACAAAGGAGTACACAGACGTGATTTCAGTGAAAAAGAAAAAACATACTGAAATTGTTAACTGTTATTTATCAGGTAATTCTATAATTGATCAGAGGGATTCCAATATGAGTACGTACTTTTCAGAAAACTATTGCTAATAGTATTAATTACTTTAGCTAAAACAACTTGCAAAGTTGGAAATTGTGATTGTCTAGAAAAAACTGCATCGTGTTGTACTACTATCATCATATGATTTAAATAAGTACTCAGAGGCCCAAGATAAATGCTGCACCTTGTTAAGTTCAGTCGTGCATGGGTACATGAGATGGCATGTAACCAGCCTAAATAGCCTAGAGTCTCAAACCCCTCTTATTACATTCTCAAAGATTACATATATACTTCATAAATGGTGAATGTCTCTTGAGTCAAACCTGGATTGAAGGTTAACTATAATGCCACAACATGACCTTAAATTAATGCACAGGTGCATCTTAAACACATAGCTGAAGAGATTACTGCTCTAAGATCTGCCCTATGCTTTCATCAACCCCCTGCTAGACTTGCAGCCTTCTCAGCACCACTCATGTGAAGATTCCAAAATAAAATGGCAGAGTAAACCATGTTAGTTTAAACAGCGCAAGTTGCACATCTTTGCTAACATACCTTCCTTTGACTCAAGAATAAAAATTCAAATGAGCAGTCTGGTGAGAAGATAAGGAGAAGGTGGCAGCAGGGGGCAAGAGCAAGCAGCTCAGAGTCAGTATAGGGCAGCAGCCTTCTCCTCTTGCATAGCTGGATCTGAAAAATTAACTGTATACAACCTAAATTTAATGCAACTAGTAGACTAATTCAGTGAATCTACTCAAATGATGGTGCATATTTTAGTCCCAGTTGCAGGGCTGGACTTAATAAGGTGATATGCAACTTGGACTACATCTAGCTACCAGTGAGTTAGTTACTGCAGTCCTTCCACTGACTTCAGCAATGCATAATCTGCACGCAGCAGTCAGTGGAGCCTGCCTGATGCTTTCCCAGGACATTAAACACCTCTAAGCAGGGTGGGGTGTTTCAACTCAACCCGGTAACATTTTCTACCAACAGGCAAGGAATAGGTTTGTTTAACAAAAGGGCAAACCAGGAAAGTATCCCATTGTATCCAAACACACAGAGCTCCAGTCAG